CCCCAAAACCCCAAAACCCCAAAACCCCAAAACCCCTAAATTATTTAATAAAATTGACTTGTGTTTATATAATAAATATTCATTACTTTCGTCATGAACGATAATTACTTTTTCTCAAGCATGGATACTTCCAGAGAGGGGCTCAAATCAGCTCTTTTCAAGGACCAAGAGGACTTCTCGTTTGGAGACTCGCTTATTCATACTGACTACAGCACAAAGTTGCCAGGTGAGTGGACTAGGGGAGGCAAAGGATGCTAGGGGGTTTTGGAGTTTTGTATTGGGTTATGAACAGGACTTTGAGCTACTAGTTTGGATAGATTGTATCTTAGGAATAGGCTAAATTGAGAGACTAACAACATCATACTCCAATAGCATAATTATGAGCTTTAGTAGTTTTAAATTAGAAAATTTGGAAACAGAGTATTCTAATAATCTCTAGATCGGATGAATTTACTGTTGTTCTCTTAGGAATATAACAAACTGTTTTCTTCCTGTAAATATAAGGGTTACTTTGGAAAACTTTGTAACCAGTTTTTATATAATATCTAAAATATAATAACATTTGACGGTCAAATTTCTAACTTTTTCATAGATAATATCTTGCATAAAGGCTCTTGAATAAGTCCAAAAGAAGGTGTTATAAAGTCAAATACCCCCAATATCCTTGGATGTAGCAAATCTCAAAAGGAGACTCATGATTACTGTGAGACTGAGATGAAGACCTCCTTTGAGACTACAATCCACGCTGGTGCTAACTATGCTGATTTTATTGGGTCAAAAGCCTTCGGAAGTATCTTTTCAGATAGGAGATCATTTACTAAAGAAGTTGAAATCCAGAGCATTGACTGAAACGTGTCATCCTCAGATAGCTCTGATAACGAAATTTGCTTCAACTTCGGTAAGATTTCTTGATAATTTATAGCTCCTGAGGTACCATCTCCTACTGAAATAATGCATGAAACTGTAAGAATCCCTGAACAGAGAGAAATTATTGAGCCAGTTCCAGAGAAAGTCCAAACTGGGGAACTTTATAAGACTCCAAATTACAAGGGGAAAAAGAGATCCAATGTGAATTATGAGACCAAGCACAATACTAATGACATCAAAACTCACGAGGAACAGATGAAGAAGAAATATGGTGTCAAGCTTAGCGTCAGGAAGGATGTAGTCAACAAGACCTTGTTCAGATCACTCAAGAGATACTACACCGACCTCTTCATGGGCCAGTTCTCTTTGACCAAGAAGGAGTCTTCCGAGTCTTATATGGTCAAGATCAGAACTTTTTGTACTAAACTGTTTAATGAAAAACTGACTAATGTTGTTCAGGAAGAATTGACCTATACCGAAGTTGAGAAATTCCTATCAATATTAATATCTCCAAACCATGTCAAGGATCTGCTTACAGAAGCTGATGATATGTCCCTTCATAAGGAATATTATTCATGCTTGTATCAATACTCACACAAGAAGCTTGCCAAAATGCTGGTGAATCCTATCTGTGGCTACTTATTCACAGAATTTATCACTAGCGGCAATCTCACCAAATTTATTTCTACTTGCACTACGATGAACCAGAATGCTGATGTTTACGAGTCAGCAGGGGAGTCGTTTTTGAAGATTATCATGGGAAAAGATGCCAAGGCCTCTAAGGAGGCATCATCCATGAGATCATCCCAAAGAGTGGTCTAAATTACTTTTAGGGCCACTTTACTTTTACTTACTTTACCCATTACATTTTACTCATACAACTAATACTTGATACTAAAATTCAAAGTACTGGAAAACATCCAATTTGTCGGCAAGAATTCGGGGTTTTGGGGTTTTGGGGTTTTGGGGTTTTGGGGTTTTGGGGTTTTGGGGTTTTGGGG